CGATTTGCTCTTTGTTCCCCAAAGGGAGCAGCACACTCAGCTGTCAGTTACTTCCTGGCGCTAGGAGAGGGGAGGGGCGCATGATGCCTGCCGGGCAGCAGAGATCAAAACGGTGAGCAGAGCGGTCCCGGCAGGCATTGTGGGATACAGGCGGATTCCGGAAGCCAGTTCTGCTGACAAAACAAACAGCAGTGTCTACACTGAGGCTTTGTCACTTTAACTTGGCTGCATAAAGTTTTACGCTCTCGTTGAGGTGGTTTTATTTTGTCGGCAAAAAGCAGCTTTTGCCGACAAAACTTTGTAGGGTAGACAAAGCCTAACTAATGACTTAAAAGATTGTGATCTACCAGACATTGTGCTGATTCACTCAGGCAGAAATGATCTGGGCCTTCTCCTCATTCAATGGATGAAAGCAGATTTGGTCTGCATCAGAGATTTGCGTCCAGGACCTCTGATAGTTTGGCTAAAGCTTTGTCTACACTACCAATGTATGTTGGTATAACTACATGGCTCAGCAGCAGTGTGGAAACCTAACCCCCAGTGTAGAAAGCGTTTCTCCTGTTGACATAGCTAATGCCTCTTGGGAATGCGGAGAACCTACACTGATAGGAGAAGCTCTCCCGTTGGCATAGGTAGCATCCTCACTAAGTGCTACAGCCGCGCAGCTGCGCCAGCGCAGCTGGGCCCCTGCAGCACTGTTCATGTAGACAAGCCCTGATTGTCTGCATAATTCCGACAGTGACAATATGGCAGCCATTACTAAGTGTTGGAAGAACATTAATCGGGAAATGAGAGGGTTCATGGCTGACTGGACAAGGTGTAGGGTTTGTCACAGAAACATTATGAGCTCTGACCCTGCAGTGTTTCTCAGAGATGGGGTCCATCTGTTGGGCAGGGGACAGAGGATCTTTCTCTCAACCATAAAACTGTCAATATTTTGGAACAGAAACCCTGTCTGTGATTTCTCCCACCGGCCCGGCTACAAACTCCACCCTTCAACCATTCTGAAGCACAACCAGGAACACCACTGCATTGTAACAGAGCTGTCCTTCGTTCCAGGCACTGCATGTGAGTTGGGTTATCAGAGGGGATAAGTAATGGCAATAGAAACATGGTATATCAGGGAGTGAGGAGTTCAGAGAGATGCATTCCCTCCTTGCTGTGGGGTGAGCGGGGAGGGGAGCCTGGAAACAGTAGTGTGGAGGAAGCTAGGCTGGAGTGGGGAAAACCGTGGGCTAGGGGTATAGCTGGGGAGGTGTGCCGAAGAAGTGCTAGAGAGGGGCCCAGCTGATGTGTAGTGAGGGGCTGGCTGGCTGGGTATGCAAATTGCAGGACATGATATGTACGACTGCCTAAATGACGACTAACTCCTACCGAAACAATATCTTCTCCTGTTCAAAAAAAAGTAGGAAATTCAATGACAGAAAACGATGTTAACGCAGAGTGATGGTTGCTTGGTGGTATGTCGGACCCTTGCAGAATGCTGAATGGAGCAAAACTCAAACTTCTGAAAACCAGGAAATGCAATTTGTGCCGATGTCATGCCCCCGGTGAACACCTGCCACTAATTATTGTAGTCCCAACCTTTGTACACCTGTGCAATCAAGATTTAACAACTCGAGTTGTCTCTGTTAGAATTTTTATTTTATGGGGAGGGTTACTGTGAACACAGTAGAATAGTCAGACAGTCTAACCAGCTCTGCCCTCTTTTAGCAATGCCCCAATATACCATGTCACAGGTATACCTTTTTACTTGGCCAACCCCACAATTGCTGAAATGTAAAAGCTCCTTTTACCACTCATTCACAGGATTCCATCTGACACTATTAAAGGACAAAAAAGGAAAAAACAAAGTTGCCCGACTGAAAAAGGGCAGAATTAAGGTTATACTGGCAACCTTAACTCTTCATTTCCTGGTTCTCAGAAGTCTGAATTTTGCTCAACTCAGCATTCTGAAAGGGCATACAACCAAGCTAGCTTAACTCAGCCTGAATGTAGCTCTTTTGACATTGAAATCTGGATTACCCTTGTTGAAAAGATATCTTTGGTGTGTGACATTGTTCTTGTAGGTTAAAAGTGCTTTTGGAGTGCGTGTAGGATTTTACGTGGGTCAACCTGGTCTGCTGCTGACATAATCCGGATGCTGTTGGAGCATGTGGCAGCCCTTGATCATTACAGCTAACACTGTGGCTGCTTTTTATTTTGTTTTCCCTTTTTATCCAGCCCCTTTGTAATTTTGTAGTTTTCCCATTGTGATCTAAAGAATGTCCAGTGGCTGAACACATCTCCTTTTGTGTCTGCTTGTTCAGGGACTGGGATTTGGCAGGTCACCAGGATTTTTGTTAGGCTTGGGAGGACGAGAGTTTTATCGGTAAATGTCAGTAAACGTCAATTTCTCCCAACACACACAAACAGATGAAAAATGATTGCCACCAGTTATAACTGAAATTTACAGATAGGCAAAGTAAGAAAAATGCTGCTGGAGAACTACTTAGAATTCAATTTAAGAATATTTACATTGTCTATTTTGACATGTGACATTGCCAATTTGTGTTTTAATGGTTATAAAACTTTAATTTTTTGAATTTCAACATCTGTCTTTAAATAAGTATTGTCGGACACACACAGGCAATTTCCTGAAATTGCGAAAATGTAAATGGATAAAAATAGAAAAAAAAAATATTTAAAACCCACACATTTGTGCAAATATGGAAACTGAAATGGACAAAAATCTAAAAAAAAAGCTTTAAAATAAGCACAGATATTCTCCAGTGAAATTAGAAAAAAGAAAATTCAGTCCTGACAAGTCTAATTATTGTTTCCTCTTTGAGTTTTTTTTTTCTGCAATATTCTTAGTTTTGAATCTCAGGTACCTCCTGACACCATGCTCAGTTTTCTAGCATAAGAGAAAGAGCTAAGGTAGCGCGACAGTCTAGTTTTATTCCTTCCACCACCTCTCCAGTCCGCTCTCATCAAGCAGTTACTGACCGTGGAGTTCTCTGCATTCCTAAACATTACCCTATATGAGCATCCTATCATACAATTGGAACAGCCCCCTGCGCTGGGGAGAGACCCCGCTAACGTGCTGGCCGTAGGGCAGAGCCAGCCTGTGGGGGCAGAAACCCTATCAATGTCTGCATGGAGGAGGGGCATGAGGGCAGATCACTTAGCCCCCAGTAGCCCCCTCTGCGACGATGGAGAGACCCCATCAATGTGAGGAGAGCTCCAGAGCTAGCAACAGCCACTGAGCCATGGTGGTGGGGAGCCAGGGATCTGAACTGGGCACCCGGTGCTGCCCTGGGTCTGCGATCAGCCAGTGGGGGAGGGGCGGGGTGTCAGAGGCAGCCCCTGAACTCATGGGGCCCTGACCCCCCCAGCCTAGTTTGTGCTAGTCCCTGAGGCTGGGATGGCTCCGTCGCAGCACTGTCCAGCTGCTATTAATTGTAGGGTTGGTTTTATTCCTAACCAGAGTGGGCTGGGAGCAGTTGGCACCACTCCTGCCCTTAGTCCCCAGGGAGACCTGGTCATGACTCATCTGCCAGTTTAGAGCTGGCTATCCACCCTGGGGGATGACTGGAGATGTCTCCTGGTCATATACGGCCAATCAGGGCCAGCTCTAACTTTTTTGCTGCCCCAAGCAGCAAAAAAAAGCGTCGCCCCGCCGAGCCCCACCCCCGCCGAGCGCCGCCGGAACCCCCCCCCGAGCGCCGCCCCCCGCGCCGCCCCCCCGCCGAGCGCTGCGCCGCCGGAGCCCACCCCCCCCGCTGAGCGCTG